CTACCGCTCCCAATTTTTTGCTACCGTTACGCCAGAGCAGACTACAGCTACAGTTTTTTACCTAACAAAACTCGGAGCAGAGCAGAGCACTTTTACATTGTTATGCTACGGCTCTGCTGTGGCTCCCAGCAAAGTGAAAGCGGTAGCGATAGCATAGCAATAATTCTAGAAATTCTGCTGCTACGGAGCAGTAAATGAAAACCCTGATTCCACCAATAATTAAAGCCAGGAGATAAAGCGAAGAATAACTTTTGCTAACAGGTTCTACTTAAGAATCGAAAGGCAATTGAGAAGCAAACCCCTCTTTCGACGAAGATATATTAATTTCTATATTCTCGTCCTATTATATGGCACAGAAACAGAAACGATGACGATCCGAGATGAGAAATCACTTGGAACATTCGAGAAAATTGTCCTTTGCAAGATCTTTGGAACCATCGGCGTGAGCAACGAGTATCGAAGAAGATGAAACCACGAACTGTATTGGCTATGCAACGACATGGACAAAATTAAGAGAATAAAAATTAAAGAAATCACTGGTTAGGCCATGTCGTTCACACGGAAAATGATGCTCAAACGGAAGGACCAAGTGCATAGTAATATGTCTGCACTAGCGTGACAGCCGGCGTAATTTATGGAGGTGCGATATTGGTTAAAAAATTTTTTTTTTTTGGTCGAACACACTCATCGCCAGCAATAATACGTTTCATGGCATCCTGGTAGTAAGAAACCATCGTTTCCCATACGTTGACGCAACACTGTTTTGCGAAAAAGTTATTGGTTTTAGAACCACTTTTCTTATGCCAAAATGATCTTTCAAAATGGTTTCACCGATCCTTCGAATATTATTTAATGGAACTTCTTTGTTGAATAAATTCACTGATCGCAAAGATCCCTGAATGTTCTTCATGTACTTCAGAGAGACAATAGTATACTAAACGCTAATGATTATTTTGATTTGATATTTGGCAGATGTAACTGAGAGTCATACCAGTTTAGAAAAAAATATTTCGACGAATGGGTCTCGCGCGAAATTTAAATTAAAAAGTCCTACTGCTTTTTGCAATAACTTAATGCAGAAAAAATAATGTAATGTCAACTTTTCATAACACTTTTTTTATTACAGTATATCACAGAAATCTATATCTTTTCCTCTAACATTTCTTAAGATTGCCAAATACTGAAAGTTTAAAAAAGCTTTGGGTTAGCTTTTGCAACACAAAGAGGAGTAAAAAATCAGAATAGAGTAAGGTTTACATACATAGTTGTATTTAGGTCTATATTAATATGCAACGAAGAAGATATATGGCTGATAACCCCAAAAATAAAAAACAGTAATATTTATGTATAACTAATTCATCCTTCAGAGGCTGTGACGACGTGGGTTTTATGGCGTCAATGGTTTTTTTAATCTTGTATTCTTTGAACGTTGACCGAATCTCTTGTAATCACATTCCTTAGCCTTTCGATAAATATAGTTCTTAATAAGCTACGCAAGATATTAAATAATAACAATTTGATAATATTATATTTGGCGCACTAAACATTATTTTGAAATTTTATGTTTTCGCTAACAATGAATTATTACATATAACAAGCTTTGAAAACGTTTAAAGAACCGATAATTGCCAATAAATTACCTATTTATATTGATTAATACGGTATTGCTAGTGTAATGTGCATATGCAATCCGTATGTGTATATATATACGTATATTCACATATACATATTTCTATATAATGCACATACAATCCCATTAGTAAGTTGATTTTAAAATTGGTGTTGTGACTAGTTGTCTTCATATGAGCATACATATTAATTGGTTATTGCTGATTTCGGTTGATTATCTTGATGAGGGGAAAACTTGAGAATCCAGCAAGATTTTCAAGATAACTTGGGAGATCTGTTGGTTTTGTATACTCTTATAATACTTTTATAGTAAGCATAGCATAATAGTTTTGCTCACATAACAGTCATTTATAATATTCAAAACGTTTTTTGTTTAATGAAAACAGCACTATTCTATTCTTCAGCATAAAACCAACTAGGGAAGCGTCAAAGTATTCAAAATAGACATTTCCTAGTTTGACCTCATTTAAGTTAAATTTTTTTATAGAGGTCCACTTTTTCAGTCTGTGAATATAAAATAAACTAAAACTAGCGAATACGGTGGGAAGATAGTCCTAGTTGACAGCGTAATACTTTCAATTTATGAACATTTACTTGCTGAATGGCTGGAACGATGGATTGATGAGAGAGAAAAACGGCGATCGCTCAAGGCGAATAAGAAATGTCATGAAAAAGAGTAAAATTTAACAACATTATAAAAATAATATAGGCTTATCCTTTTCGACATATTTGATTTTGCAATGGATAATTTGCGAAGGGTTGACAAATTGAGTTCATATCTTTCTTCCTATCCAATGTTCTTAGTGGGTGCAAACCTAGGCCAAGTGTGTGCATGAGCCTATGGTGTATGTATAGTGTACAATAACTATTTGCAGGCATCAGGCAGGTTCAATCTTTGCAGAGCAGAGCATTTGGAAGAATGCCAAGAAATAAATTTGCATGCGAAACTGGCGACAGACAGTCACAGCATTAGTCCTTATGCTCATGCCCACATATTCGTATATTCATGCATTTGCTGTGAGTATACATGGGTATGAACATTATAATTTATCATGGTGGAATTGTGATTAAACGGCTGCTCTTAAATTGACCGTGCTAAGACTACTGAAAATATTGGCAGCATTAATGACTTTAGTCAATTTTTCTTTTACATACATACATGGGTATAAATGAAATCGAACAACTGTTTACTTATATATGTACATATGTGGAGAATATGCTTTGAAGAAATCAAATAGTTTGAAGTTCCTAATTTGAGAGGATCAATAATTAGCCACTTCAAGTTAGCATTTTGCTACTAAATTGGATTATGTTAACTAAATTGAAAAAAATGTATACATATTATAGATTTTTGTATTATACATATTTATGTTGTTCAACAGTAAACATGTTAGGCAAAATCCCAGGAGATAAGTTTGGAAGCCGTACAAATTATTTCAAGTATTTACTGATAAATGTGTTATACGGATAAGTGATCGTCTCAGTGTGAATGAGCCTATATTCGATATATTTTTTTAATAATAATAGTATACATAATATTAAACTTTTTCTTAAATTTTGAAATCGAAGTTCAAATTATTACGATCACTACAGCGGGCAACGTAGCAACTCCAATGTTTAAACGCGTTTTTCTCAGAATAGTGTTTTTTAAAACGGTTTCCACTCTGAAGAGAAGAGTTTTGAAGATATCTAGTTGCAATTTGAAAAGAACATGTCTAACGTCATTCCGTATCGTTACGGGAGCTTTGTTTTTTGGAAATGTTCCTATTTTTTCTTCGAAAAACTGTCAAAAACCGTCGTCAAATTTCAAAGCAAACAAAGCTTCATTATCATTATTTCCTACAGATTAATAATCTTTTTGAAATTTTTGTTTTAGATCAAAATAAATATTGCACAAAAATTAAGTAATGGTTAATGTCATATGTTAAATAGTCAACTGAAAGTAAAATTTCGAACTATGAAAATTGAATGTGCTTTTATCCCGATATGTCAAATTATGGAAAGAAATACAAGTTAAGAAATTTCTCCGTGAATAACAATTAGGAGATTCATATACAACCGTTATATATTAAGTTTCCAACTTCCACATTGTACTGATGAAACAAAGATAGCTCATTTACCAAGTTGTTCAATAAGTTTTGTCGTACGATAAGACAGTGCCCCTAGCCGAAATTTTTTTTGGTTTGTTGGAATACTCTTCATATGAACGTACGTGAAGCTTAATTTCAATCTGTCAATTCATTCTTTGTTTACAAGCCATTTAGTGTCCCCGTGTCACAGTATTTTTTTACAATGGTAAAAATTTAATAAAAAATATATATAATTCTTATTTTTGGAAGGTGTAGCACCAAAAGAAATTCACGAACGAATATTAAAAGTTTATAATTATTGTTCACCTACAATTAGAACAGTAGAAAGATGGGTTTCTGGTCTTGAAGACGATCCACGTGAAGGACGTCCAAAAAACGCATCAACACCAGAAATCATAGCCAAAATACGGGGTATGGTTTTGAAAGATCGTCGATTGGCTGAGAAAGATTTAGTGGAGGCTCTACACATCTCAGTGTACGTGTCAGTCATATTTTAAGTGAAATTTTGGGTTTTAGAAAGCTGTGTGCACAATGGGTGCCGAATTCGAATGCGACTTTCTCAGCAACATTTGAAGCGTTTTAAAAGGGATACAGTCGGAAATCGGCCAAGAAGGTTATGACATCAGTTTTTTTGGGTTGCGAGAGGATTTTTTTTTTGTGAATTACTTGCAAACTGGTAAAACAATTAATTCTGAATATTATTGGACCAGTTGAAGGAAAAAATTCGTGAAAAAAGACCCGATTTGCAGAAGAAAAAATCAATTTCCTTTGGAAGATATTATTAGAAAATATTGACAATGGTTTTAATCCATGAACTAAAGTTCGAATTGATGGACTATCCACCGTATTCACCAGATTTGGTCCCCCGCGCTTCTATTTGTTTTCAGAACTGAAAAAATGTATGCGTGGCAAGCGTTTTTCATCAAATGAAGAGGTCATAACGGCTGTTGAAGCGGATTTTGCAGACCTTCCGGAAAAATATGTATATACTTTTTTAACAAAATCATCAACAGCATATACTTGTGGCAATAAATAAGTTGTGCCTCCAGATTGCCTATTGCATTTTAAACATTAAGCAAAAATTGTTTGGGTAGTAAAAATATTAAATATTATATAAGGGAATATTGTGACAGGTTGAATTATATAAAAGGTGATACAATAAAGTAGGAATAGTTAAATGGTATTTGTGTGTTTTATTGCATATTTCTGGAAAGTTTGTTTGTATGCATGTTGTATCACTGTGTATTTGTGTTGGATGCATGTGAAATAATTCTTTTTTACCACAGTTGTCTGCCACCTGTTGCAATGCATAACAAATCTGCCGATGTTGCTCGTCACCCTTCATATGCTGGATCGAACAGTAATATGCCAATTGGCAACGTTTGCAGACAGTTTTCGTTTCCGCTGTTAGCTCATCTTTACAAAGCTGTAAAATGTATAAAGTAAGCAGTGAAAAAAGAAGTAAATTTATAACTATTATTAATACGTACATTGCAAAGGGCGACCAAAAAATATTGCCGCGGTCTATAAATATACTCGATATAATTATCCTCGTCGTCTGAGGACTCCACATCACTTATTGGTCCCTCATGCAGTAATTTTTGTAGGTTTTCCAATAAAGTATTAGGTAAATCGGTGCTGCCTATAGACAAAAGTTACAAATGCACAACTTTTTACATAAATACAGGGAGCTGTGAATTCTGGTAACTAACCGTTTGCCACTGAACTCTCTAATTTTCTTTGCAAACTCGCAACAAATGCACTTTGCTTTTGTAAATTGTTATCTGGGGGGCTTTTGTTTGCCGCTGCCGCTTTCCCATTTGTCGTTTTACCACTTTCTTTGCCTTTGCTCAAACTACCACTACTCTTTTGATCCTTTTTATCGACCTTTTCAGAGGCTTTTGTATTAACATTGCCTTTTTCGCTCTTTTTGCCTTGTTGTAAAAGCTTTGTGCGCATCATTTGTTGCAGTAATCTTAAACCATTATCCGAATCTTTCGATGTTTGCGTTGAAAATTCACTACCAAATGTTTTTTGTTGACCCACAATATTTAACGCTACGCTCTCAGTGTTATTTAATTCACTATTCGAGGTCTGACCGATGTCCTCCTTTAAACGATTTGCTTTATTTCTTGGCCGATTCCGCTGGCGTGTTTTCTTCGGTTTTCCATCCATAACGGTTAAAATACTGAAAAATATGAAAACTTATGCAATTTCTTTATTAAATCGGTTAAACGAATGCTCACTCAAATTTCTGCATAAACCGTTCACTTTGAATTTTCGCTACCAAATGCAAATTATGGCTGCCAAACCCAACGCATTAGGTGCCCTGCCCTCACGTCTAATTTAAAATCTCTGCAAACTTCTTGTGCTATTGTTAGTACAATTTTTTTTAAGAGAACTGCAAATGCAGCGGCTATTCCTTTGAGATCTCTGCTGTTCTTGTTGTTCAATCGTTGGACGTACTTAGCCTTTGTCGCTTTTGTTTATATTCGCATTGACGCAGCTACTTGTTTGCTACGTCTATATTTAAGTTAATGTGTTCGTATGTACGTATGTATGCTCATTTATTTTGTTCTCATTTCAGAAGCGTACGTCTCCATGGGTTTATGAATACTCTTTATGCTTCGCTTTTGTTTGTTTCCCCGTGAAACATAAAAGAAGCTTTCTTTCCTGATGCCAAAAAACATATTGAATTACGTCAAATATTAAATATAAACTTAACATTTAGATGAGCCCTTACAATATATCAATGGGTGATCTACTTATTTCGAGGTTCATAATTTAGCATACTGGTAACTGGCAAATGACACGTGTGATGTTTTGCTCAAGACCTGAATCTAAGCGTGATTGTAAGCATAAACTTTAGACTTTACTCGTACATATCCCCACACATGATCTTGGTAGCCAATCGACCTGTCTAAAACGTGAAATTATCTGCAAACCAAAGTTTTCTCTCAATAAATCCATTGATGATGCGATGTGTGGGAAGTGGCGTCATCTTGTGGAAACCAAATTTCGCTCAGATCACGACCTTCAATTTCAGGCATCAAATAGTCGGTTATAATGCGCCATAACGGTCGCTATTGACGGTTACGTTCTTACTGGCATCATTTTTGAAGAAATATGGGCCGATGATTCCACCGGCTCGCAAACCACACTAAACCGTTGTTTTTTCTGGATGAAATTGTAACTCTTGTCCCAAATGCGGCAATTTTTCTTGTTTACATACCCATTGAGCCAGAAATGCACATCATCGTCAAAAAGTATACTTTGTTCTTTCATTAAATACGCTTTTCTAATTCCTACATGCAGCTTGGTTTCACTACGGGCCAAAGATGGTGGTAGAAATAGAGATTACGATTGTTTTATTCTGTTACCATTTTTGGTAAGCATATAACAGAGAAGTTCTTTGACATACAGTTATATAGTACAGTTTGAAAATGAGTGGAATATCATCTTAACTACGTCTACTTCTCAAAGAGCTCCCAGAATTATCAATGAAATAATATCCACATTTTTCCTCATTTTAATCTCGTCTGTTGTAAAATCGGTTCGATACTTCTTGCAGCCTATGTAAATGCTTAAAATAATTATCTACAAAATTGAAGTTGAGTGTGTTACGAATACATCCACCAATAAATGGGATATCTTAACAAAACTAATACAGCAATTCAGTACTTTGATACATTGAGACGCTTCGCTTTCTTATCCAGTCTGGAGAAAGCCAATGATATCGATGTCATCGGAGTACGCAGCTGAACACTCTTATAGAAGATTGTACCAGCTCAATTAAGCTCTGCAGGTCGAATTAATTTATCCAGCAGTAGATTGAAACCTCGGTTGGTATCTAACGGCTAGGAGAGGTCCTTTGCGATCCTGATGGAGCTTTTGGTATTTCTCAACGTCAGTTTACACAACGGTATTAGTTTTGCGGGGATATCAAATTCAGACACATCACCATAAGGCGGCTCGTTTTCGTTCTCTCAGAAGTAGCTTTGAATTCAACGAAGAGGTAGTGTGTGTCGATCGTCTTTTGACTGGTCTTTTCTAAGGTTTGGCGCATGATGAATATCAGGTCAGTTGTTGATTTTCCGGGACTAAAGCCACACTGATAAGGTCTAATAAGTTTGTTTACGGTTAATCTTTAATCATATAATATATCATAGGAGGCTTATCACACGGCAGTTGGCGTGGATTGGAGAGAACTCACTTAAATTCCAATCATCGGGCATGCTTTCGTGTGACCATTTTCTGCAAAGAAGCTAATGCTTGCTCCTCATCATGGTCTTGTTCACTAGACTGTGGGTTCTACAATAATATGGTTTCATTTTGAAACTTTCTGTTAGTTGTGGCATCTTTCCGGAAAACTTTCGAGCATTACTCCTGTCGGGCCATTTGTCAAGCTCTTCATACTTACGCATTTCGGGCTTATTTCTGTTTTTTACCAGTAATTGCGTCTTGCTTGCCTCTTCAATTCTCGGTATTTACCCCATCCCGCACGTGTTGTGGTCGATTGTAACGGTGCGAGGTAGGCAGTCTGTTTTCTCTGCACTGCGACACAGCATTTTTCATCGTACCAGCTGTTCTTACGTATTTTCCGAAAACCAATAGGTTAATTTGCAGCTGTACGTAAGGAGTTTGAAAGGCCGTCCCTTTTACCAAGCTGCTGATGAGTGTCTAGGGTCGCCAGTGCTCAAAATTCCGCGACCTTAGGTCTATTATGCCCTATTAACCATGTTAATAAAGAAAGTTGTAGAAAACAATTTACAAGAATAATTTAAAAAAATTATTTTAATTTATAATTCATTCTCGTGCAAAATAATTTGTTCTGTTTCTAGTTTTGGCTTAATTCTTCCTTGAATGAACAATTGAATAAATTTGAGTTTATCGACAAATGTAACCCCGTATGCCCTGCGATAGGATGCTAAAATAATTTGTATAAAATATTGATAAATTTTTTGAATGAAATGCCGATGAAGTTTCGCGCTACATGTTGAAATCTTTTCAATAAAGAAATTATCTTGTATTCTGCATTTGTTTTTTAGGTGATATTTGTTTTTTAGGTGATATCGGAAAGTTATCGGCATAGGAATCAGCAATTTCGTAGAACAGCACCACCTTCTAAAAAAATTCAATTAATCGCAGTTATTATTCAATACATCGCGTTTTATTTTCAATTGATGATTCGACAATGCGACTTTGCACAATATCTTGTCAAACAAATTTATATTCTCTGCATTAAGAAAAAAAATCGGTTGTTGCAGTGAAAGCAAGAAACAAAAAAACTGAAATTAGGAAATGAACGAAATAATTAAAATAGTGAAAAACATTTAAGTTAAACTAAATCTAAAATGATAATAATGTAATACGAGTATAAACAAATGATTTAACTCTACTCGCCGCAAAGTAAAGATGGCAATGTGGAAATACAGGTTTCCTCAACAATATTCCAACTCTATCAATTTGTTGTATAATTAAACAAGTAAAGCTCTCTCATACCATCTCGGTGGTAAAATTTTATATCTCTGACGTATTTGATTATTGATTTATCGCGCTTTTTGTAGTTTTTAACAGTACCGTTATATAGGAAATGAGGCTTATCCTCCGATTTCATCCTTTTTCGCACTGTCGAGAAAAGTCCTTATAAGTTTTGTGCTCCGCAAATTTTATTGGTTTTTCGAAACCATTTTCCCCACAGGTGCCCCTTGCCACTGCAAATATCTGTAGTAAATTACTACTTTATATCTTAACTTAGTGCTTAGTTATGGCATTTTACATGATTTTTGCGAACTCGAAATTTTTTTTGTACTAAAGAACCCACACATTCACTTTTACTCGTTATCCTGATCATTTACATATATTATATACTAGCTTTAACCCTTGAATTCGTCCGAATAAGTTTTTTCGTTTTCTCCCGGCTGTAAGTCCCCCTGCAACAATCTCCCACTATCGTGTTCCGGTCCTCATCTTCACATCAAAATTTCTTCAAAAGCGACCTAAGCACATAATGGATAGCTCCGAATGTTTCCTTAATAAATATAAAAAGTAGATAATGTAAATGGATTTAAAATACTATTAACTACCAACCTGCCAACCCCCGATGTTAGACAGTGTGACATCCGCAACATTGTCTGTGTAGGAAGTACTAACTTAATTTAAGTAGTATAATAATGTAGGAAGCTAAAAAAAAGACGCCTTATTACTGTAGTAAATTTTTTTAAACTATGTTCTTTGTTTTTCCCTCTCTGACCAAAAAATGGAGATACTGTGGACTTGAAACACGTAAGTAAGCCATAATTTTCCGTGAGAAAAACAACTCTTTTCTAAATTAATGCCGGCTACTTTTAATGTTTGTCCCTGAGCTTTATTTATCCTCATAGCGAATACGATTTTCAACGGAAACTGGAATAGAAAATCTGTCGGAATTATGGGTATACGGGGGATTAAAACATTCTCTCCTTTTCCCATTCCAGTCATAATCATTGCTTTTACAATATTTCGATCGAGGTGTGTGCCATTACACAGTCTTGGTGCATCTAAATTCCGCATAAAAAGGACAGGAACGCCTACTTTCAGCCTCAGTTTGTGTGAAGGTACTCCCGACAGTTCTAAAGAATTAAGAATTTCTACAGGGTATGGTGTTACATTATCCATTACAGTGTCTACAGAGAAAAATTCAACAATATCACCTACCACGCGTGACATAATTTGCTCGTTTATCTGTCCCACCATTTCATTCGTCAGCACTATAATTGCTCTTTCACATAACCATTCTCTATTCCTCATATTAGTTAGCAGTTCGCTATAGACGAAGTTATTTAGATTATCTGGATTACGCACAACATTGCAGAATTCACGATCCAATGTAATCATGCCATTACCATCCCTTGCCATACGATCTTCTCCAATTTTAAGAAGAGCAGCAGCATATTGTCCAGATTGTACATCATTGTACAAAATTTTTACCGAATTTTTACACTCTCATATTTGTAGACAGACTAAACGTTTTTACGTGCACCCATAACGTTGACGCTTTTAAACACGCATTTATTTCATCTGCAGGGGTGCCTTTCGTGATAACCGGCAAAGTGTGGTTGTTTGGGTTACTCTTGATGTCTTTCAAAGTCCGATCTAGAGCTTCAATTGCTCTTTTATGGAATATGGTACACTCATCCCAAACTAATAATTTACATTGCTGCAACATACGTTCCACGCTCTCTGTTTTTACTTATATTACAGTATATTCATGTAAGTTCCGTGGGCTATTTACAAATGAAGACGGTAAAATGACCATTTGACTTAAATTATTTGGATTTAAATCAGCGTCATTTGCTACAGCGTCTGGAAGACGGATGTAATTCTCTACTCTTAGTTTAGTTTGATTTAATGATATGCATCGTAACCTCTCGCTTTCAACTTTAACGTA